AACAACAATGAAACAAATGAATTACAATTATAATAAAGGAAGGAAATATTTAAAGATTATGTAGAAAACATTTAAACTAGAGAATGTGTTTTTATGTGTGTGAAATTTGTGTTGGCTTACAAGTTAGATATGTATGTCAAAAGAGAAAAGTAAGATATGAAAAATGAACGTGCTGTAGAGGGCCGTAGCTGTTATGTTGGCGGTTACGGTTTGTTGAGAGAAGACAGACGTGGACGAAACGCCTGTATGGTTCAGATACTCCTGCTCGCCGGGCCCAACTACATAAAAAGGTTGGACTTGGTTAAGTCCAAAGAAGAAGGAAAAGAAAGCAAACAAAACAAGACCGATAATACACAACAAATATATATTCATAACAAGTTACAATACAAAGAAAACAGTACAAAGGACAAAGTGTGGGGAATATTCCGTGTGTGAGCGGCGTGTGTGTATTGTGCTTAAGCGTGATTTCACGCTATTTCTTGTTAGGGACTACATTTTGAGGTTGATAGTTGAAATCCTCTAGGAAGAAGAGAAATTTACCTCGGTGCGTTAGTGCACAAGCCTGAAAAGTAAAAAAGAGAGATCGAAGCGAAGGGTCATTGGCTATTTATAGCCAGGAAAGAGAGACCTCTGGTGAAAGGGTTACAAACTGAAGGAGGAGGTAACTCCGACAATACCCCCCACCAGATTAAAGGTTGTAAGGAAATGAAAACTTTTAATATATAAAGAAAAAAGGTTCGTTAAAGTCTGAATATTGTTCTTGTGGGCTGAAAAGAAAATGTGTCAGAAGTGTGGTTGAGATTCGTGATTCGACGAAATGTAGTGTTGTCTCAGGGTGCAGTGTTATATTTCAGTGAGTTAGAATTGGGCACGTCCTGTAAAATGCGTCGGTAGTGGTCTGCGTTGCTATCAAAATTTGTCTTTTTTTGCTCCACGTTGAATTGGTTGTGTCGATCTATGCACCTGTCTGCTGGCTTGTTTGTAGTTGGTTTGAAAAAACGAGGTGGTTCGTGTGGGTTTCATCGGCGCACTAAAGTTAATAGACGCAAGCGTATTAAATGAAGTTGAGCTGAATTTCTACCGAGTGTCGAATGTAGGTTGGGAGAATTTGGTATTATTGACGATAGAGTATCGTTCTGGCAAAATCTCGGTTTGTTTGGGTCGCGTAATTGCAGAATGAGAAGAAGGACGGTGAATTGCCTTTTAAGACTGCATTGGACATTTGAAATATGGGCAATGTTTAGCTGCAGCACAATGTGAGTGGATGTGTAGTCAGTTGAAGTTGTGTTGAATAGAATGTCCACGTGTGTTTGAGAGGAATGAGAAGCAAGCAGTGGCGTGAAGATATCGCCACGTGGTGTAAGTTGAGTGTTGCTTTCATGTCGGAATCACGAATGTTGTTTAAAATTGAGACAGTGAGTCGTCTGCAATGGTTTGGAATCACCAATCGTATATAATGGAACAGTGAGTCGTCCAGTGGTTTGGTTCACACTTTTTTCTATTTCAGTCCAGAAGAAAACAGTGTTAGTAGAAAATAAGCGTTGTTTTCCGTTTGGTACAGCCTTAAGCATGTCTGCCGGGTGAAATTAGGTCAAACGTCGCCGAGAGAAAGAAAGGGTCAAGCAAATATAGACCAGTGGGTAAAGAGTTCTAAAGGTTCGTCTTCAATAGTAGTAATTGTTGTTCTTTCGTTGATAGTGTACGAAAAGAAGTTTTTCTCAATTTTTTTTTCTATCTGGCTCTCTTTTTGGGAAGGTGTGTGTATAAGAAATTGTTTGTTTTTGTACATATATATCGTCTTGTGTGTTTTTTAGCAGGAGTGGAAAAATCACGTCGGGGTCACCATTTGTAGAGGGCCGTAGCTGTTATGTTGGCGGTTACGGTTTGTTGAGAGAAGACAGACGTGGACGAAACGCCTGTATGGTTCAGATACTCCTGCTCGCCGGGCCCAACTACATAAAAAGGTTGGACTTGGTTAAGTCCAAAGAAGAAGGAAAAGAAAGCAAACAAAACAAGACCGATAATACACAACAAATATATATTCATAACAAGTTACAATACAAGAAAACAGTACAAAGGACAAAGTGTGTGGGAATATTCCGTTAAAGTGACGGCGTGTGTGTATTGTGCTTAGCGTGATTTCACGCTATTTCTTGTTAGGGACTACATTTTGAGGTTGATAGTTGAAATCCTCTAGGAAGAAGAGAAATTTACCTCGATGCGTTAGTGCACAAGCCTGAAAAGTAAAAAGAGAGATCGAAGCGAAGGGTCATTGGCTATTTATAGCCAGGAAAGAGAGACCTCTGGTGAAAGGGTTACAAACTGAAGGAGGAGGTAACTCCGACAGTGCCCCAGTGGGGGAACCTTTTTTTCCTATGGGTAACTATATCTTATAGCCGGTGTTGTGAAACTGTTAAAGAGAATGAGTAAAAATATCATTTCCTATTCATAGGCTTAAGGAGCATCCCCTAGCAATGTTTTTTTTTAGGAAAATAGGAGATAACCCACAAGAGTACAACAGTCAAAACATGACTGTAACAACTAAGATGAGGATGCTAGTTAAAATAATATAGATCACTGTATAATATTAACTTTATTGGAGTTTAAAATAATCAATCAGAACATAAGATTAATCAAGCACAAAATAAGACAAGGATGCTGAATGGCTAAAAGAGGACCAATTACTACCCTTGTAAGGATCACATGACCCTAGCTATATAAGTGCCAAATTCAAAAATCACCTCTTTTTTCTGTCACCTTGTTATTCACGCTGCACAAAGCAATGCTGTTTTCTTCCCTACAAACCCTAGATAGTGGCATCAGGTTAGGGAAGAATAGAGTCTGCAACCTTAAGAGAAATTACTACTACCTAAAAAGCTAGCCAAAGACTGTTGTTGTTGTTGTTGTTATAACAACGTTTCAGCCATTGTGTCCTCCAGTCTGCCTCAATCAGGTAACCTACCAGGATTTCTGAATTGAACCCTTTATTTAATCTACAGGGGACAATATGACCAAGAATCACATATACTTGATTACTTTCAGTTGTAGCAGAGGATATAAAGGTGAAACAAGCATCCCCCTAAAAGTAAGGCTGGAAGAACATCAAAAAACCCATAGTGAGAGGTGAGACAATGAAATTGGACATGGCTGATGGAAATATATATTCCGATCCTGACAAGTGTAACAACTTAAGGAAAATCTAAAGAATATTAATCTATAAAAAGTATTCCCCCCAAAGTCTTTCCCTATTTTTTTCAAGTGGACCAATCTATTTAAGTAGTTCCAATTGGGCTGCTAAGTGCTCTAACCCATTGCATTTTTACCTCTTTTGTTTTGTAAAAAGCAAAAAGATATTTTTACAATGTGGTAGCACCTTTTAGGGTCCCAGTTATGAGCAAATGGTGAAGCACCAAACAAAAACAAAACACTATCAAAGTATAAAAATACATTTTTATAAAGTTACCAACAATATTTATTTTATAGTAAAATTACCAACAATACATCTTTAAAGTAGAATGACTAACAATATGTAGATGAAGCCATTTAATTGTGTTCAAAATATTTAGATTTCGGCATTAATTATTAATCCGTAGAGTTGTTGATATGCCGCTAGCGGCTAAACAAAATCAATCAATCAATCAGATATTTCAAAATGGTTTTTAAAAAATAGAGAATTATGAGTACGACACTCTTCTTAGTGTTAGAGTTTAAAAACTGTATGGAAAAAAAATTCCCAAAAATAAACAACGTAATTACAAAATGAGCAAAAACGTCATTTTTTTATTTTAATTTTTTTACGATATGTGTAAAAACTATTTACATTCGGACTGTTGTCCTCATCTTTGTTGTTGTTATCACGTTTCAGCCATTGTGCCTTGCAGCCTTCATGAAGTGTATGTTGTAATGTATTCAATTTTTGTATATCGATTCGAGTAACAGGGATTTTGAATTGAACCTTTTCTACGTTCTACGAGTAGGGTGTACTGTTCTCGTTCCGCTGCCCATGACTAGAAAAATGTTTTAAAAAAAAATGAATACTAAATGATTTCATTTAAAAAATTTACTGCCATAAAACAATAAGTAAAAATAAAATATTGTATTTTCGAATTAACCTAAATTTCTTCAAAAGAAGGAAGAATTTTTTTTTAATTAATCATTATTGTTTTTAGTAAACAATGACTAATGTTTACATTTTTAATGACAATGTTTACATTTTTCGCCTTCACAGAGTTATGCAGAAACTGCAGCATTGTTGCCCTAAAAATTCATCTTATCATGTTGTTAACTTTTGTTCTTGCAGCTTGCAAGGAAATTTTTTTTTATGACATTGGCTCTACGGTTCATTGCTCTATGCATTTTTTTATTTTTATTTTTTTAGCTGTGTGTTTTAATAGGTTCATTTCATTATTTTTAATAAATGATGACGTGAATAAATTTTATTATTTATTATCACAAAAAGACTTTTTCAAAATTAACAAGTAGATTAGAATAATTGTATTAACTTTGTCAAACTAGTAAATTCATATAATAAACTATAATAGTAGACATAAATTATAAATAGCGAGTATCTTAAGATGAGTATATAAATAAACAATTGTACGAGACTGAATGACCTTCTCAATAAAAATTGTGCCAAAAGCTGTCTGCTATGACGTCATATAGTTCCGCAGTTGAATGTTTTTCTTTTCAAAATATAATTTAGACAACAATAAAAGATTTTTTAAATATTTTTATTAACAATATTTTATGCTTAAATTATTTTATCTAATTTCCAAGACAGAACTTTTTTTAAAAATAAAATCAAAAGAAAAATGCGCAATAGGTCGTCCTTGAGAAGTAAATAGAAATTTCTGGTGTTTGTTGAGTGCACACTAAAACTGGTTTCTCCTGTTGGCGGAGATAAATCAACGTTTTCCCTAAGGGGAAAGGGAATTAAGAAGGGTTAACAAGACCAAGCCTCTTCCATTTTTTTAAAAAAGGAAGGGGCTGGGATCTGAAAAATGGCTCTCCGGTCTATATTAACCAAATTTGTTCAGAAAACTAAATGTTCTGTGGCTCGTCGGTTTGTTACTGGCCGTGTGGAAAGATGTCGTTTGCCGTCCGTCAAACCTTGTCCCACACAATTTTCGGTCCTTTCCAAACCTTCAGAATGGGGGCTCTTGTCTCGTCTAGCCGGTCGGTACTACACAGAAACCTTTGCAGCCGAATTACGACGTCGGGCAGCCCTAAGGTTCCTTCTTATTGGTCCCTGGGGTCGACAAAGTTGTACAACCAGCAGAATGTCCAATCTACCTGGCTTCTCTCGTCATACTTACCTGCCAACGTTTGCTTTGATTGGTTTCTCTTTTTTGACAAGACATCCCTACGCTGACAGTCCAGCTGAACTTGATGGAATCATCTCAGAAATTAAGGTAATTTTTATTTTTAAATAGGATGAAAACAATTTGCAAGCCTTTATGATTCCTCTTGGAAGATAAATATTGTAAAAACTTCAAGTCGTAAACATTGTTTATGTTTACTTTTTTTTTTACGACTTGAAGTTTTCTTTCAGCCATTGACTTTCTTTGGATCGGACCAAGGGATGTGTAACAGATGTAAAAAAAAATATATTTTTTTAAAATTTTTACCATGAGTTTCTAAAGAACAAACATTTCTAAAATAATTTAATTCATTTTTTAATAAGTTCTGAAAGTTTTATTAAAATCCGGTAATTATTTGATTTTTGCAAGAATTTCCAAATTAATGTGTTTTTTCAACTGACAAAAGCGCTAAAAAAAAAAAAAACTAATGCAAAAACGCAATCGCTGACGTAAAAAAAAAAACAAAAAAAAAAGACAAGATTTTTAACGAAAATTTCAAACGTGCTAAAAAGGAATAAAAAAAATGTTAAAAAAAATAATTAAAAAATACCTCTTAAAATAAACCTTTTTTCTTTTTTACACGATAAAACATTCTTTTTAATAAGTTTTGGGGCCTTTTTTCATCATGTTATGCTGTTTTTTTCGGTGGATTATTATTGGACATCATAGTCTTTAAGTTTTTAATGTTTGTAAACAAACAAAAAAAATTCAGATTATTAAATTATTTTTTATTCTTTGTTTATTCAATATTAGGTAAATTTGCTGATTTAAGCCCCGCAAACCATTTGTAAAGAAATTACCTTAGTTTTTTGGGGGTTTTTTTGGTGTAAATTTCCATGCTTATTTCGAAAATAACGGTAATGAATGACAAGTGTTTTTTTTTTTGTTTTGTTTTGTTTCTTTTTATAGTGAAGAAGTTATGAATTCTTGTTTAAATAAAAACAGATTTTAAAAAGTAACCTTTCCGCAATTGTCATTGCTATTTTGTAAATAATCATGGTTAAAAAAATGTTATTACTAACTAAATTAGGGTTGTTTTTGTAAATAATCATGATTTTTAAAATCCCAAATTTAATTTTTTTTAAATTTCAACCTTAAATTGTTCATGTTATTAATTAAGTCTTATCTAACATTTTTGGTAAATTTGCTTTTTAAGTCCCGCGCTTAAAAAAAAAAAAAAATTAGTAGATCGAGTTCAGCATGTGTTTAATCAAACTGTAAATTTACACGGAAATATAACGATTTGGGAAATTTTTAATAGACTAATGAATGATTAATCTATTAAATTTTTAAAAATTTTTAATAGATTAATCATTAAATCTATTAAAAATTTTAATCATTAAAAATTTCCCAAATCGTTATATTTCCATGTAAATTTACATGCTGAACTCGAAAATAACAATAAAATTTTGATAAAATCTACTAATTTTTTTTTTATTTGAAAAGAAAGCTTTAGTTTACTACAGTGTAACCCGAATATAAGAGAAACCCGGATATAAGAGACTTCTTCTCCGGTCCCGACAACTCTCTTATATCCGGGTTACACTGTATAAACAAAACAGTTGAAAAAAATAACAACACTTGTTATTGCTTTTCTTTCGACACAAGTTATGTGCGCAGTAATTTAGACGAGTTTTAATGCTTTTTGGAATAATCAGGCATTTTTACACCGGGAATGATATATTTTTTATATTTGCCACTGGGCATTATCTGCAAATTTACCAAAATAAGTTGTTAATTTTTAATGTTCGTATTTTTTTGTAGGGAATATAATCATTCATTATATAATGTATTTTTTTATGTGCTTTTTAATGGCACTTTCACTTTGTCGGGAAAGTAATATGGCAGGATATATAGTCGGTTTTAGCGTTTCAAACATTGATTTATCTGCTTTACAGCGGACATAGTTTATTTTGATCAAGAAGATCTATATGAATGAAGTTTTCTTTTTCGATATTATTAAGCCATGCATTCGTAATAAAACGAAAATTAGAGTTCAATGAAACTTATTGATCACATGTTTTGAATTATTTTTTATTTTAATTTTTTTTTACTTACTTTCTTTTTTTACTTACTTTCTTTTTTTACTTACTTTCTTTTTTTTAAATAATTAAATTTTAAAATAAATTACATCACTTCATAAATTACTTTCCTAAAACTGTTAGTGAAAAAGAAAACTTTTCACTGAAAAGCACTTGTTTAAAAATTCAAATGCCTCACAAACTTCACAAACAAGTTTTAAAGTGAGAGACCTTCATAATTTACATTTCAGTTTACAAAAAGTAATCATTTTATTTTTAGAATTGCCTTCTTAAAATTACTGTTAAATTAGATAGAATTCCTGGTTGTGTGTTTGAATAAAACGAGTATCTTCTGTCCCATCATCAAAATAAACGGCACTACTTTACAACAGTGGTCCCGCGAGCATGTACAGGTGAACAATGTTTTATTTAATAAAATAAAAATATTTCTTTACAATTCACAATGGCAGATTTTTAAAATTAAAAATAAATATTTTTATTTTAAACATTCTTGTTTTTCTTTTATTTAATAAATTTTAAAAATTTATTTAACGTGCTCCCGTTTTTTTTGGGGGGGGGTAGTACAAATTGAATAAAAAAAAGTCAGCAAAACGAAGGAATCTTGAATTAAATTAAATTTAAGTTGTTTTTTGTTGTTGTCGTTTTTTTGTTTTTTGTTTGTTTGTTTTTTGTTTGTTTGTTTTTTTAACCCCATCGAGGTTAAATAAAGTTTAGTTACCTCTATTAATTCGCTAAATAAGAAGAGCATACCATGATGAAAAAAATACCCTAAACTTAATAAAACAAAGTTTTATCGTCAAAATCTTTGTTAAGAAGAGGAGGAGAGACCAAAATATTTTTTTGATTCAAAAATTATATTTTTGATCCTTTGACATTCGAAATTTTGGTTTTTAGCATCATTTCTGCTAATTTCTGATTTAAAAATTCGTGCAAAAATCAAATAATTGTCGAATTTTAAGGAAATTTTCAGGACTTATTCACAAATTAATTAAAATATTTTAGAAATTTTATTCTATTTTTTTTTACATCTGTTATGCTCCTCATCCCACCCACTAATTTAATTTTATGAAATTTCAAGAAATTAAAATAAATTTCGACCCCTTAATATTTTTAATTTAGATTAGTTAAAAGAACTCCTTGGAGAATTTTAAAAATCATCAATGTTTTTTTGTAAAACAGAAACACCAGTTACTGAAAATCTGCTCTGAATAATCATAAAATAAAAGATGTAATAAAACTAAAACTAAGAATAAGACATTAAACTTTTAATTGCTCTTATGAAGGACAATATTGTCTTAAGAAAAAAACAAAATAAAACTTTTTTCAATGAATAATGAATTTTTAAAAGAATTGTTTTCATTTTTTTTAAAATAAGAATTAGAATAATGTAAAGTGCATTTCTTTTAAGTTTCTGCATTACTTTATCCCTGTTAGGTGATATTGCTATATGAAGTAAAAACTATATTTACTCTAATCATAAATAGAAAAGCTTAATACAAATCATCAAAACATCAATATTTTTAAAAGAATTTTGTATGTGTATAAACATGCCAATTTTTTGTTAATATGAACGTTTATACACATTATCAGAAAATAAGAGTGATAACTTAGTAAATCAAATTCGCCCCAAGCAAGGCAGTAAAGCCACTAAGACCCAAGGGGGTCACTGGGTGTGGAAGAATTAGAAAGCAGAAACATTACTAAGGAGCGAGAACAAAAGAAGAGTAATCAGGAAGACAGTAGATAATGATTGACATTGCATTTAAATTTTTGAAGATTAAATTTGACTGGAAAGCATGGAGCCACAAGAGAATTCCACAAGTAAGAAGTGCAAGAAAAGAAACTGTTAGCATAGAACTTACAGTTACATCAAATCACCTCAACTGTTAATTGCCACTCTAGTATAAAAAAAAGTCTGGTATCATAGCAAAAAGCTTATCTGAATAATTACCATTAAAGGATTCATAGAAAAGGCACAGGGAGGTAACTTTACAGTGGTGGGAAAGTGACTGAAGCCAAGATGCCAGATCAGGACCAATAATATTGACGATTCTTCTTTGGTTTTTATCAAGGATCTTTAAATATATAGCAGGAGCACTGGATATTCTAAGCATAGATGATTGGTAGATTTATAGATGTGTAAGATAGATTCTGGAGAGAAAAAATGATCTAGCATGACACAGTGAATCAACTTTCTTAGCGGCTGACCTAGCAATATAGTTTTCCCCACTTCATATCAGCTGAGAACGTTAGCCCAAGAAGGCACAAAGAGTCACTCTCCTGGAGGTTAGCATCAGATGGATTGCAGAAAGAGGTACTTCAGATGATTAATATAGAGCAGTTTAGTTTTGAAAGCTTTAAAATTACCAAGCCATTCTTTGTCCCAATTAACAACAGACTGAAGGTCATTTTTGACATCAGCTGCTAATTTGACCTTATCAAACTAATCAGACGTACTTTAGAGACAGGAGTAAATGGCTGTGTCATCAATATAGATACTAAGTTGAGAGCTGATGTCATCAGGAAGGTCATTATCAAAAATAAAGACCGAGACAGAATATTTTCCTAATTTTTTAAAGATTACTGAGTACTTAAAAATTATATAAAAAAGCACTCATGCTATATTATTCAACTATTTTTTACAGACATAGCCACCATAGAAACACGTTAGATAAAAATCTGCCATCAAGCTGTTAACACCTTAAATAAACAGCTACTGCCATGTTAAAAAAAAATGCATTTCTAGGATATCTTAACCTTAAAGTAAATAATTGTTATTTCAAATCAGATCAATTTTGCTTTAAATTAGTTAATATTCCTCAAATAAGGTTTCATAAAAGTATATTTTATTTTTGTAAAAAAAATTTTTTAATAAAGAAAAAATAAGCTCCTTTCAGTTAATTTAAATTACTTTTGAAATATAGCAAAGTATTTTGCTGATTAGAAATATTAAATTTAATCTATTGGCTTGAAATTAAAACTAAAATAAAAGCTTCAAGAAAGATTTAT